CTATAATTTATTTTAATACGCCAGTTATATATTTATACATTTATTTCCAATAATGATAGGTTTGGTCCTCCATAAAACAGGTTCAATAAAAGAGCAAAAACTAAGTAAGCGTGTTCAATACTTTTTCTCTGTGCCATTCCACATTATTACAAATAACTTCATTTCTGGACATTTATGGTTTGATTTCTTTGTATGTATGGATCACTTGGGTTGTTACCACCATCTGGTGAAAATTTCATGTCATTAGCACCTCTAGTAATATATTTACTGAGAAAAAATGTTGACGTGTTCAATACTTATTTTACCTGCTGTATTTATTTAACAAAGACAGAAATATGTGGTCCAAGAATGAAGGTACCCGTGAAATGATCAGCTGAGTTTTATTGCAACAACAGAAACACAGAGAACAACATCAGACTGCCTCACCTGCTCTCTGTTCCTGTCTCTGTGCTTCTTCTCCTGCTGAGGAAGTTGAGGCCTCGTATACACTGTTTAACAAACACTATTATGTCATCTTAATAAAGCAAGATTAAATACTAAGGAAATACTAGGTCAAGGGAAAACACAAAGATAAACACAAGTGATATCTAAGAATGACTGTTGTTAGCAAATCTTGTTCTGACTTTAATCATTCTATCTGCAGATAAACAGCATCTCATGAAAACTTAGGTCATTAAAGGATGTCATGAATTACTGGCCTAAACCTAGAAGTATTGTTTCCATCACAATTTGTATAGACATGTTTTTTAAATATTATTTTTGTCCGAAAAAAAAACCATGAAATAAACATGCACCTACGGCGGGTCAAGTAGTTCTTCAAATATTACCTTTAAGTTAATTTGATAGTTTTGTGATATTAATAATGCTAATATATTGATATTTTTCTAATTTCAATCAAATTTTGTTTCTGTTTAGCACCATCACGGTTGCTAGGTGAAAGAACGTATGCTGGGGTAAGGACGGGTAGCTATAGACCATCCAAATTCACGGCCACTTTTCTCCAGTCTTCCTGGTCTAACAAGGACCCGGGCCACCTCGACCGGGCAGGCTGGGTCCTTCTGAGGACCCGGCCTTCCGTTTTGGACACAGCCCTAGTTGTGTTGGGGGTCTTCTTCTCTACTCTATTTAACGGTGGCTGGCAAATAGCTTAATGGAGCATTACCACCAACAGCGAGCAAACTTTAGCCTGGCCCTTGCCTTCCTATGCAGTTCTGCTCAATACTAGTTTCCCTTCACTGCTCCATCTGGGGTTTCTCCCATTAACAAGGATTTTTTTGGAAGCATTTCAACCGGGCCGATCAGAGAACAGAACGTCAATTTTCTGCACAGTGTCTGCTTGTAGTTTATTTTACCTGGGCCAATCAGCAAACAGAAGGCGGAGTTTTGAACAACGAAGATTTTCTGCGCAGTGTCTGCTAGTTATTTTAGCATACGGCAGTGGAGGAAGTGAATGAAGCCAGTCCGTGTTGATAAGGCTTCCAAATTTAATTTGTCTGACAAAGCAGCAGCTCTCATTTACAGTCGTCTCATTCGGMTYGGTACTTCTCTCCTCTCAGTAGGGTTGTTTACAGCGGACGCGATTTCCGGTTAGCTTCTTAGCTTAGCCTCCTTCACAGTGACATACGTCGCAGCCAACCGATCCAATCATTTTAAACTTCAGCAGAGGCCACGCCTCCAGCAAGAATCGCTTCACTATAGCCGCGAGTCCAGACCCTCGTAATGAAGCAAAGCAAAGGACAAGGGTCTGGTTTTTTCCTGGCTAGGTAAAGGTGTGTGGTGTCAATTTTCAGTCTCTGGGACCACCCAAACTTACTGTGAACCTACCAACTAGCACTGTTACGGAAGTGTAATAGAAAACCACTCAAACCGTGCTGAACAAAGTTGAGCCAAGTCAAACAGTGTTGTAGAGGTGCTAGTGGAAAAAGGGAATTAGCTGCTAGATAATCTGTTAGGGCTAGGAGGATGTGTTGCAGATGACTCTCAGCTACTACCACATCAATTTTCTGCTCAATATCTGTAAAATCCACTGTGTTATTGTCATTTTTTGTGAAGATTCATTGTGATTAGCTGTGGTAGTTACGCATCTAGAGCTCACACAAAAGGTTAATCAGCTGTCGACATCAACCTAATAATTACTTTCTATGAACTTCTTTAAAATTCATTCAGTAGTTCATTAGGTATTTTGCTAACAGACAAAGCAGGTTGACACCAGCAGTAAAGGCTACCATTTTTAAGCAACGACGATGTGCAATGTGTTGACCTTAGAGCACATGTTGGCGACAGTGCTCAGCTACTACCACACAGTCTGAGCTCAATATCTGTAAAATGGGCTTACGTATAATCTAAGTTCAGTTGGCTGTGATGGCCAATATAATTGATTCAAACTATGAGTCAGTTGTAAATGAATATTTTTTGATTGATTACTGTCAAAAAGTTTTAACAAAATCAATCCAGTGATTTGAGAGAGATTTTGCTAAAAGTACAAACACTTGCTTTCAGTGGTGAGTGATGGTGGAACAAGTTGAGGAAAGTTGGGAATCATTTGATCAACATGTGACATTTAGCTATGGATACATAAAGTGTGGAGCGTGTCCCGTTTTCAAATATAAATCCAAAAGATTTATTAAAACTCATTTTCTAAGCAGAAACTAACCATAATCAACTAATCATATTTCATCCAAATAAATGTCCTACATTCACACGCTATAAAAACTCTACATCCAGCCCACTCTTCCATCCTTTACAGCCTTCTTGGGTTTGTTGTAACAGGCATCTATTATTCAACAAAATGTGCAGAAGTAGTCTTCCTCCTCCCTCTGGATGAAGGGGAGAGAAACAGAAAGCTTCTGAAGAAGAGTCTGAAACTGAGCTGGTTTTTATTCATCTGAGCTGCTTGGACAAGAACACAGATGTTCTCTCCATCCTAAGTCCCCCATCAGCATAAAGGGCCAGATTCTGATTCTATTTGAACTTAAATGCAGCCTAAAATGAGGAAATGTCCACATTCAATTTTAGAGTCAACCCAATTCAAGATGGCCGCCACACCAAATCAACCTTCCTATGAGGATTTGGTGTTTTGTGTGTTTTTCTGTTCTGGTCTTGTACTCCTCTCTAGTGTTCGTTTCATGCATTGTCATCTCAGTCCTCAGATTATTCAGCCCTTCTAGATCATTCTGCTCACCTGTCTTCACTCCTAATCATCGCAGTTGTTTTCCATTTCCACTCATCCCTGCTTTTATATAACCTGCTCAGTTTTCTCTCCACCCTCGTCTGATCATTGTTTGGTTCATGCTCTGCCCTGGCTTCCTTATTCCTGCTCGCTTTTAAGTTTTCTGTTTTTGCCACCATGGTGGCCTTTAATTTAATAAAAGTTTTGTTTAATTTTTAAGTCCGCCTGCCTGCCTGCATTTGGGTCCAGCTTGCCACCAAATCCCTGTCACTTCTAGTTGTAAGAAAATATCGATACACTGAAATATCGCGATATTTCATTTCCCGATACTGTATCGATATTCTGAAGCCCTGTATCGATTTTTTTATTAAGGTTTAAAACATCAACTTTCCTGCCAGCCGTTCATTTTTATGTTGTAGTTCAGCTTCTGACCACTAGTTGGCAGCAGTGAGCCAGCCATTTAGATCCTCTGCCTCTTGAGGGCCAAAGAGCACCAAAAAGCTGCAAAAAATATTTTTCAAACTATTTATTAGCAAATTTAGTCTAATAAATTGAAAACATAGATGAAATATGAAACAAAATAAAAAAACACAAAGCAGAACACAGCTAAATGTATCAAAAGTATGTCTATGTAATATTAGAATTTTCTGAGACAGATTTTTTTCCCCAATAAGAGGTTTTTATTTAATAGAATTTTTGGACAAAAAAAATCACAATATATCGCCTTGCTTAAAGTATCGCAATATATCGGGATATATCGTATCGTGACCCCTCTGTCATGATATGCATTGTATCGCCAATATCCGGTTTAGTTTTAACTGAGTACCCAGATCAGACTCGACAGACAATGAGAAACAGGAAGTGACACAGGTAGTAAAAAGGTAAGTGAGTTTATTTACAGTGTTTATCCAGAATTTGCTGCAAGGGGAAAATCTGTGGAGAAGAAGGATGTTATTTAATGTTGTTGTTGTCCTACAGGTCTTGGAGATGAGGCTGGCATGGAGGGGAAGGCTGAAGAGGATTTCCACGTTGGTGAGTATTTGAGGTTTTGGTTGTTCTTGTAGGTGGTGGTGTAGGAGAGAGGCAGGTTGGAGACAGTGAGGAGGATCCACAGAGAACTAGTTCCAGAACAAGCTCAGAGCTTCGACGAGGGAGGAACCAGAGAGACTCTCCAGAGGACCTCACAGGGTTTGAACCTGAACACAGGTAAGTACACAAAAGTTAATCTTGAGGTTTTCAATGAGCGGTAACACTGGGCTGTCATACACGGTACCGAAGGTGACTGAATATTCCAGCATCGGATGGATCTCAGCCAGCAGCTCAAATGGTCTCAGAGTCTCATCAGAAGAACGCTGTGCAGGTGAGTCCATCCCAGTCTCAGCCCACATGCCAATCTGCAAACAATCAATTAGCAGAGCAAAAACAACCACAACCTCTACAGCCAAATTCTTGCCAATACACAGCCCTACTTCCAGTGTCTCATGAGGTATTTCGCTGACAGAAAATCAAGATTCTTTTGCTTTGTTTATGAGAAAATTTGATGAATTGTGATAAGATCCATGGTTCAGAAAATGCATTTTTTCCCCCTTTTCTTTTCATAGTTTTCTAGGGAAAAGATTCTTATTGCTTTATAGTCCCAGCCTAACCCATACTAACTGGCACCTAAACAAGCTAAAGCTAATCCTGTTAGGCTCTGTGCAAATTAAATTTTACAGCCGTGTTGCACCAAAGCAAAAACCCAGAGGCTGACATGTCTGACTAGCAGAGCTGCCAGTTAATGTGATGCATTCTGTGAACTCTCTGTGGTCCAAACCCACAATTTTCTTCAGGTCTTCTGAGATTGTCCATCCCCATGTTTTCACCCCGAGCATGGGGTCATTAGTGATGGCTTTAAACTAATTACACACACACCTAGACACACACAAAGAAAACATGACAATCAAGCAGCTTCAGCAACACCACATGAACAGACAGAACACACTCAAACTGTGTTAGTGTGTGTTAGTGTTTGTGCTCTCTAGGCTGTTTTTTTATTCTCATAAGTTCGTCACATTTTCAGGTTTTGTTGTGTTTTATTAGTAGGAGGATCCTCATTCAGCTGTGTTTTGTGTGGGAGGTCAGTTTCATCCTAATTGCCTTCAACATTCTGAAAAAAAAGAAGCAAAAACAAATGATCAGTGATACCAGAACATTTACAAAGAGAGTTACCATGGTTACTTTGCGAGTCTGTGCGTGTGTTAAAAATGATTATATGTAAAGATGTAGATCTTTTTTATTTCCCACCAGAGGAAGACAAAAAACAGGTGATTGGGTTTGTTTCTGGTGACATTTGGGGGCAATTTTAAGACAAAACGCCTACCTTTGGGGACAACTGGTGCATTTGGGGAC